GGGCTATTCTCCTCCAATTACCGGACTCTTCAGATCTCATTTTGTGACAATGGGATGATAGACGACAAAAGAGTGATGTTCCAAATTAGCTTCTCTCTTCTTTTGCCGCTGCACCTTATTGTTGTTTTGTCTGTCTCAATGAATCCAGTTGGCATCAAGAGAGCCCTCCTAAGTTGTGGTATGGACTTCAACGAGAAAAAGGTAAAATAAAAATGAGAAAAAAAGGAAGAAGGTCCGCAATGGACCCTGGTCTCCTTCAAATTACCAGGCTCTTCACATCTCATTTTCTGACACTGGGATGATAGATGACAAAAGAGGGTTGTTCCACTTTAGCTTCTCTTTTCTTTTGCCAATGTCACTTTTTTCTTGTTTTGTTTGTCCCAAGTTGCTCTTAGAAACTTTCTTCAATGAATCCAGTTGGGATCCAGAGCTTTTGACGAGAAAATAATTAGAATCCTGTCTGGACAGTTGCTTGTTCTTAAATCTTTTTGAGTATGATTCTCATGTTAACAGCTGAAATATGCGTCTTCTCCCTGTGCTGGTCATTACTTTTAATTCATTCTCTTAAGTTGCATGAACATCTGTAAGGCATTCAGTCTTGGATCTGCATGCAGGAGTTATTATCGTTGCACATATCCTGGATGCAATGTCCGCAAACATGTCGAGAGGGCTTCAGCAGATCCAAAAGCTGTCATAACAACATATGAAGGCAAACACAATCATGATATTCCCATTGCTAGAAACAGAGGTCATAGCACAGCCCAAGATAGTACTCGCCAGTTGAACGAGCAAGACGTTGCAACTTGGAGGCCTTCACTTCATGAAAATGTTGCTTTTCATAACACCAATGACATACCAGTGTGTAGGCAGCTGAAAGAGGAACAGATTGCAGCATAAGTTGCATGTATATGTCTCAAGCCCCAAGAAATGTTTGTAAATCTTATGGCTACTTGCTAAAGATGTCTATATATTGTTAAACAGTGAAAGGTTAGGTGATCAAATAGTTTGTTCACAGTAGTTTGAAACTTCTGTACTTCTCTGTAAATTCCTGGAGCTAGCTTAAAAAACTAATGGCATATGAACTTCTTTTCTGACAACAGGAATATGGATTTACTAACTTGGAATTATTAGTTGGGATTTAAGAACTGGGAGTACATGGCCCCAGTTAATACAGTTATTTACTTTATTGATTAGTGAACAATCTGTAGAATTGAGTGGTTGAGCCAAGCTTCAAAAATCAGCTTATTTTGAGAAATATTTTTACAGTTTGTATTTGGCTAATTAATTTGAAAAGGAATTCTGAGCAGCAATTAGTGTTTGACCAAACTTCGAAAATCAGCTTATTTTGAGAAGTGTTTTTGGTGTTTGTATTTGACTAATTAATTTGAAAAGCAATTCTGAGTAGCAATTAGTGTTTGGACAACTTTTAAAAAGTGCTTCTTCTAAGTGTATTTTTCTCAAAAGTGCTTTTCAAAAAAATGCTTTAGGGAAAACTTCGTTTTTCTACTTCTCCATAACTGCTTTTACTTGTACTCAAAAATATTTTTTTTCTTCTAAACGCTTGGCCAAACACTTCAATTTTGATGCTAGGGAAAGAAGAAATATAAGTCCTTCCCATTGTATACGAATGTGTTTGACCTAACATAGAATTTACTAAATAAAGGGGGACTTTTGATATATAATTAACGAAATACGCATAAGGCCAAATTTACTTCTATCACTAAAAACTAAATGAAAGGGGATAAGAGTTTCACATGCCGCTTCTCATTTTTTCATCCTTATAATAACAAAACAGTTTTTATATTAAATGGGACCCTAAAGCTCAAGTCATTTAGGGTAAAATAGAATGTTAAAATAAAGAAGTTTTCAAATACATAATTTTTGTTTTTAGATAGATAAAAAAAAAGAAAGTGTTATATAATATGAAACCGACTCAGCGGTAACACAAACAAAAGCATATCCTGAGTATTAGTCGATAAATACAAAGTACCATTAACAAACTTAATTAATATACAAATTATATCTTTTAATAAGTGTACTTTAACTATAATAAAAGTTGAATAATGTGTTTACTTCATATTCCTCATACTTGTATCCATCAATGAAGAGAGATTATTAAAAAGTATGGAGGGATGAACGGACCTTCCATTATTAATTAGAGGTTCGACGCGAACCTCCGGCAATAGAGAGACTCTTGGTAGGAAAATTTTCACATTTAGTTAGGACGGATATGAAACAGTTATAAACAAAAACAAAAAGGGAAAAAAATGGGAAAGGGATACTATAAAAGCTAGTAAAATCCAAAAGCGAAAAGGTCCTATTTTGTCCCTCTACTATGATATATATAATTTTCATCCAATCCACCACTATCGTTAATGAACGATTTAAAATTGTCCTCAATCCTAATGTCCCTCCACTGTGGCAATGATTTGTCCATATCAACTGCCAAGTCATCAAGTCCCACACAAGTAATACTAAAAACATAATTTCTCAAATACAATCATGCAATAAAATTTCATGCCTTAATGGTCAAAACTGGTCAAGAGCAAATTCCTTTTACACTAAGCAAACTTTTAGCATGTTCAATCCACTATACAGATTATGTAGCTTCAATTATCAAATACATAAAAAACCAAATCTTTAAACAAAATTTAATTCTTGATCAATTTGATTTTATTTCTGGACTTAGATCTTGTATACGTTTGTTGGTGAAATGGACTGGTGAAGCTATGCAGTTGATTTGTTTCTTGATTTGAGGAATACTCTTTTGAATTTTTATTGTGTTTATGGAAGAATCTCATTTGTCCACCAACTGTTTGATGAATTTTCAGAGAGGGATTTGGTTTCTTGGAACACTTTGATGGGTTGTGTGCATAATCATTCTGTTGTTTTCGGTTTGTTTGTAGAATTGCATTGGGATGATGTTTCTGCTAGTGCCACGATGATGTTGTCGTTGTGTGTTTTGTCTGCGATTATTGCCTTGTGTCTTCTGACTTGACAGCACAGCTGACATGGGCAAATATAAACTATATGCTATAGGGGCTAATGTCTCCTTTTCCCAATCCAAAAACAGAAAAAACCATGACGAGGAATAACAAACTTCAACGGCTACATGTCTCTCTCTCTCTCTCCGTGTAATGAATCAAATTTCTGGCTATAACCAATGTTTTAAAAAAGAAAAAAAGATGACAAATGTTGAACCCATAAACACAACCAAAAAATACCCTCTTCTTTTGGAAAAATCCTCTTTCCTCCACATATCTCGCCGTTTCTCAGAGGGTCATCAAATCTTTGACCCTCCCAAAATGTGTTGCTTCCCTAAAAATAGCTCAATTTTTTTTCTTCATTTTTGGGACAACAATCTAATGTAGGGACTTCAATTTTGATCCTTATTTTTCTCTCTTCCCCCCTCCCCTGTGTGTGATCCCTTTTTCCCATCAGAGTTTTTATTCCTTTGATGGGGGGACATGGGTTGTGTCAGCTCCAAGCAGGCCACGGCCCATTCCCCGCCACACCACAATTACAATTCCTCCTCTATAAAAACTGCTGTTATTAACAGAAATGGAGAAATTATTAAAGATCCCAATTTGCAGCATGTTAATAAGAGTGGATTTGGCCCTTTGGAGAAGATTAAAGAGGAACCCGAAAAGGAGAAGAAGGCGGAGTCTTTAATTCGAAGGAGTTCCTCGAATTCTAGAGGTTCCAAGAAAGGGAGTAATGAAAAAAAGGCTAATTTTAGTATCAAATTTGGAAGGTTAACGGAAGGAGAACATTTGGCTGCTGGTTGGCCCGCGTGGCTCACTGCTGTCGCGTCTGACGCTATTGATGGATGGCTGCCTCTAAGATCAGACGCGTTCGAGAGATTAGAAAAGGTAATTATCTTCCCTTCAACTAGAGGTGGATTCAAAATTTATATTTGATGGGGTTCAATCTTTAGGTTCAGAATTTAATCTTTGTTGAAATTTTAGTGATATTTTCGCATATATATATATATATATATATATATATATATATATTTCG